ATATAAATATAAATATAAATATAAATATAAATATAAATATAAATATAAATAAATAAGAAAACCACAATGTCTTCATTGGAATACCAACTTTGCTGGGGCAAATGGAATATGTGAATCTAGCTATCCCCCACGTTCAGCAAATGTTCAGAGTCACTAAAGCAGGTGGGAGAACAGTGAGAGAAATTATGACAAGAAAGGATTAGGCCCACAGATTGTCAAAAAGAGAGTTCCTTTATTTATTCAGTAAGCAGCATTTATGAAATGCTCACTCCCTGAAAATCATGCTTCTATTTGTGATTTTCTTTTCCTAGGCTTAATGATAGAATGGACATATCATTCTCAAAAATGGAAGTAATTTGACAGAAAATGTCAAATGTTCACCAACTGCCACCTGTCTCTCATTACCTGAGTTTTGTTGTTATTGTTGTTGTTTATTCAGGTGAGGATATGACCACATTCTTAACAGATTTTTTTGGTTGGCTGGTTGGTTGGTTGGTTGGTTGGTTGGTTGGTTGGTTTGCAAGAATGAAACTGTACTGTTTCAGGTTTTTCAACAGCTTTCCAACTACTTCTCAACATCAACATTAAAGTTTAAAAAAAAAAAGATGAAGGAATAAGTAAAGTATCAAATAATTTTCTCTCTTTATTGTGCTATTTGTTCCTTCCTCTCCCTCTTGAATCCCCATCCCAATACCTTCTTTTAATGGAAATGGCTTTTGTTTTCTGCCATAGAATGTTCTCCATGCTCATATACATGGAACATGAAACTTAACAAATTTGGAAGCCCACTTTAAGAATATAAAATTATGGGGGAGCCTGGGTGGCTCAGTCGGTTAAGCATCCAACTTCAGCTCAGGTCATGATCTCAAGGTCCATGGTTCAAGCCCCGCATTGCGCTCTGTGTTGACAGCACAGAGCCTGGAAGCTGCTTTGGATTTTGTGTCTCCCTCTCTCTCTGCCACCCCCCACCCCACTCATGCTCTGTCTCTCTCGAAAAAAAAAATTAAAATAATTAAATACACACACACACACACACACACACATATATAATTATGAATATAAAATTAGGTATAGGACCTTTCTTTTTTTTAAGTAGGCTCCATACCAATGTGGGGCTTGAACTCATGACCCTGAGATTAAGAGTCACATGCTCTACCAACTGAGCCAGCCAGGCACCCCTTAAAATTAGGTATAGGACCTTAAAAGGTGCCCATGCAAGTGGGGGGGGGGGGTCTCTAAAATTTAAGCTTTGTTAGCTTCATAGGAAATAGCTCTGCTCATATAATACAGACATAATATATGTATATGCAGGGTTTGAGGGGCGGATTCTTTGGTCATTACTAAAATGCCATGATAACAATGCTTTTGTGGTTAAAAAAAATACTTAAGGCTTTTAATAAATTGCACTAAACTTATTAATAAATTTAGCACTATTTATTGATTTGAGGAGAAGTAGCAGCTTTATGATGTTAAAACTTTCTATCCAAGAACTCAGTATAAATTTTTCCCCTTAGTCATGTCCCAAAGAATTTGCAATCCAATAAGAAAAAATAAAAGTTTATACACAAATAGCCACGATACAGGAAAAGTGGAAAGTACAAATTGTAACATATGAAACTGAAGAGAGAAAATACTCAAAAGAGTAAGAGCTGATCTGTGTAGATCTGGCACGCATGAAATGGAGGAGGGGAACCGTTAAAGGAGATGGGCACCTGGCAGAAAGGAAGCTCGGCCAGGGCACAGGGACACTCAAGAAGCAGTAAATACGCAGCTCGGTGGGGCTGGCATGCAGAGGGCACACAGTGAGCAAAGTGAGACAAAGAGAGCAAGAGGGCTGGAGCCCATCCATGCTAAGAATGCCAGGACAGAGGACTCTATCCTCAATTCTGCAGGGCAGTGCAGTTTGGGGCCAAGACAGGCCAAGACGAGAGCTCTGTTTTAAGATCAGTCAGTCAAGTGGGTGCAAGACCAATAGGAGAAGGGCCAGGGCTCATTAGAGTGGTTACCATAGTCTACGACAGAAGGTGTGAGACCTGCGCCAGAGTGAAAGAAGTAGAACCGAAAGGACAGGAAAGATGAAACACACCACAGGGCACCAGCAATGAGAATGCAACTACTGGTTAGATCAGGGAGGGAAAGAGAAGTGTTTCTGTTCTTATGCCTGAGTGAACAGCAGGATGGTGGTGCCATTAATACAGACGAATGAAGCAGAAGACCATGTTTGAATGAAACACAATTTCTTTCCACATGTTATATGTGAAATTTAACATGTAAGCAGGCTATCCAAACAGATATCCTGAACTAGAGCCCAAAGTAGGAGAGCTGCCCTCTCTTGCTAAGGAGGGGGACACATTTCACAACTCCTCTGGAGGACCCCAACAGAAGAGCTCCCTTTCATAGAATGTTGAGCCTACTCACATTCTACAGGCTTCTCATCTTCCAGAGAAACTAACTGCTTCTAGACTCTTCCTCCTCCTACTCAGAAAGTGCTCTCCTTTAATATCTTAGAGCACAGCCTAGCTGGGACAGCCCTTGACTAAACTCTGCATCGTTGAGCGGGCAAGACATTATTCAAAAGCTTTGTGATGCCACAGGAAAAAAAATTCACCCAACCCATAGAACCAGGTAAATTCAGCCATATTTCAAAATAAAATTTATGCAGCAGAAACCAATACAAGGCAAAAGTCCAATTTTGTTTTAAACAGAACCTGAATTTTTAAAATAACAGTAACTCAGTTTCACTACCAAACTACACTTTGAAATTATTTTTTCTTATAAACTAAATGTGCAAAGTAATTACTAATAGAGGTTTGATACGAGAATATTATAGATACGACATTTTCCCAAACCAAAATTTGGGTGACTGCTGGTTCAAAGGTAATAGCCAAAGCCGAAAGGACAAAACTGACAGCTATGGAAAATGCCAGAATGCGTTTATTTTAGCAGTCACTAAATTTGCAATACTTGAGTGTTGGGGGGTGGTGGGGTACAGGGATTTTAATTAACATGAAGTTATATCTTGCAAAACATTAAAATGTACAAACCTCGTAATGTTCATATTCATCCACATCAAATGTCTCAAAGTCAAAAAATCCATGTTGTAATCCCTAAAAGCAGAACTTGAATTAGTTTTTCCACACCAAATTGATAACTTTTAGCCATTCCTGCTCACAAATGACCCTCACTAACCTGAAGGAAAAAGCTTGAAACCTTTCATTTATAACACCTATCTAGAAATCATCTAATATTAGTAATTTTGCTTTGAGACTTTCTTACAAGTGGGACTGAACACTTAGAAAAACATGAAAATATGTCCTGCAAAACGGATCTAGAGTCCTAATTTACATTGTTTTGTGTGTAAATAAGTTAATTATGTATATAGGGGTGCCTGGGTGGCTCAGTCGGTTAAGCGTCTGACTTCGGCTCAGGTCATGATCTCACAGTTTGTGAGTTTGAGCCCCAAGTCAGGCTCTGTGCTAACAGCTCAGAGTCCGGAGCCTGCTTCGGATTTTGTGTCCCGCCTCTCTCTTTGCCCCTCCCTCACTTGTGCTCTGTCTCTCTCTGTCTCTCAAAAATAAGTAAATGTAAAAAAAATTTTTTTAATAAATTAATTAATTATGTATATAAAATGGAGCATACTAGCAAATATATAGTTAAAACCCATTTGGGAATGATGCAATTAATTCATATCAAACCATGACAGAATACCTAACAGTGATTAACTTTTCAGATAGGAGAAGAAAAATCAAATTTGTAGGTGCTTTTATTTTCCTTTCAGCATTAATGAGATACTTAGCAAAAAGGGCATTTTTACTCAATAGGCCCTTATTTGTCCCTGCTTTGAGAGAATTTGTTTTACAGTAATAGTTTCTGACAGAGTACAAGTGTACTAGACTGCTCTTACACTTTAGAGGAAGAGCTGATATTTTTAACAACACAAAGAAAACGTGCATTACTCCTTTTCAAAACGATCCAGCTTGCTCAGATATAATATTTTGAAGAGGACAGAGTCTCTTCTTTTATGTCATGAAGCTATACAAATTATAATAGAGTACAAACCCACAGTTGCTTTTAAAAATTATGTATTCAAGTCATTACAAATAGGAGAAACTGTTAAGCCAAGCTGTGGTGCATCTGTATTTGAAAATATTTTACAGACCAGTGTTTTCCAAAATGCAGAGCATGGACCACCTGCAGCAGAAGCACTGACGGTAACTTAGATCTAAAATACCAATTCCTAAACCCCATGCCAGAACTATTAAATGTGATTCTTTAGGGGTAGGACCAATATTTTAACATGCCTTCTAGGTGATTCTTACACACCATAAGGTCTGACAACACTGTTTTGTCGACCCCTACCGTTAAGAGCAAAACAAGTTGTTTACATTATTTCATCTTTAAACAAAGCAACTCAGTTGATTCCAGTGAAAGCAGTGAGAAGAGTAAACCCTGAGCTATAACCTTCCTTCCTTTCTCTTCATTTAAAGTGTGGGTTTGTGTATGTTTCTGTGTATAGTTCACACACATATGAACTGTGCGTGTGATGATGCCCATACAACAAAATCACAAAGATGTGCTTCCTAAGAAGGTAACACTGCAGCTGTAAACTGTCTGCACTCTTAGGGGGCATGGTACTCATTGCCAAAAAAATTGCCCAGACCATGACGGCTTGTATAAGAGTGTGTGCAGGGGGGTAATGTGTCTCAGTCGCTTAAAGACATGTTGAACACTCTATTAGGTCTTTCTAAAATCTCATCTACATTCAGGTAATATTAACCCAAACATTTGATGAAACAAGAAATTTACAGAAGATGTTTTTCATGAACAAAGTACAGCTTCCCTCTATAACAGGAAGGATGTCATAAATTTCTATATCGAGTTACCAAGTTACCATAACAGGTGGGGATATTCCAGGGTGAACTCTTTCTGAACTTCATAAATTTATAAAAGAAACAGCCTGTACAAGATGGCAGAATAGGCGAAATAATAATAACAATAAAAATAACAACAATAACAATAAACAAGTACTTTCTTTCCCTCAGGCATATTTTTTAAATGCTATAATTAGGGTTCTTAACTTGTGTTACTAGAAGTCTATGTTGGTGACATTATTTGTGGGGTGGGCTAGAGTATTTTGACAGTTTTTAAGTGAAAAGAAAAATATTTGAAAACTATTTTAAAGTCTTACAGAGTTTAAATTCATTTTTAAATGAAATATCAAAGTCAAAAAACATACATAACACAAGGATATTTATCATACCAATTTTCTCAACTCAAAATGTAGCAATTATATTATTATATTATATTATATTATATTATATTATATTATATTACATCATATTATATTACATTATGGTAGAGAAAAGAAACTGGAACAAGAATCACTGCCGATAGTGTGTTTACGGTCCTTGCCAATGGATTCTGCAACATGTACATTCCTGACTGATAAATCATGGCTGTATGTTCAAGATGGAATGATGCACTTTGAACCTTCATTCGAATTCACACTATAAAGTGCATGACTTCTCAGTAAATTAGTGCTTCTAGAACACATTCTTAAAATTCTCAAAAATATTTTAGATTAACTTCTCCATTATATATATGAATAAATAACTATGCCTTTAAACTATACATACAGTGCATCAAATCACCCAGGGGGATTGGTCAAACAGACTGCAGGGCCCCACTACCACAGTTTATGGTTCAATCAGTCTTGGATGGGACCGAGAATTTCATCTCTAACAAGTCCCACGCTTTGACAAATCATTGATTCATAACATACCCTTGATATGGTAGGTAAATCTGAGTTAGAATTAGCCCTGCTAAGAACTCCCTGTGGCTCTGAAACTGACTTCACCTCTCTGGGGTTGTTTCCTCGTCTATAAAGATGAGATAATATCTGGCCTACTTACTACTTCACAGAGGTGTAATAATATCCAGGTAGGAAACCAACATGGAAATGTTCTCCACACTGACAGAGGTGTGGGTTGGCTTCCTGGCTCTCCCACACCAAGCTCTAGCTTGATAAGGAAGCTGAACCAGTGACAAAGCAATGTCACAGGCAGAGCAGCAGATAGGAGTGATCC